TTTTTAAGTTCCATTTTCAGTTCTTCTAAAAGTGGAGCCATTGTAAACAGTTTTAAACAACCACCCGATTGATTTTAGTCATTCAAATGCAATAACCAAGAATCCAGAGATCACCAAGTAATCCAAATAGTCCCAAGCTGTTTCTTCTTATTTCTTTTTTCACTTTCTCTTTGTGGGGTTTTACTGTTTTGTTGCGATGTTTCAGTTAAGATGTATCTTTTGGAAGTCTTGTTGAAATTTTGCTGTAAGTTCTTTTTAATTCCAGGCAGTCTCCTCCCTTCCAGATCCTGCCCTTTTATTCTTTTTCTGTCCTTTCCTGTTTTCAAAAGCTTTTAAATATCCAGAAATCTTTATTATCCCTTTGACTTTTTATTTTCAGCATTAAATGCCTATTGATGTCAAAGTGGATTTTTTTCCAATTTCTTGCTTAAGTCTCTTAGCTGTCAGTATAGGAAGAGGAGAAAAAAAACCAAATCCTTTCCCTTTTCTCTCTCCTTCGCAGCTTAAAAATCTTCGTAGGGAACAATGTTATTGTTTTTTAATAGTTTCTATTCCAGGGTACCTTATTTGTTGCTTTTGCTATTTGACCCGGTCAACCAAAACTTTCTCTTCTTATCTTCCTCCTGCACATTCTTTTCCGGTCGAGTTCTTCTTTGTGGTGGCCATTTTTGACCACCAATGCAACCACCTTCGGGAAAGGGAGTAATGGCCAGCTGGGGAGGAAAGATGTGGCTCTCCTCAACCCTGCAGGCAGTTTCCCCACTCTTCACCATCTCTACAGGGTGGCTTAGCCCCAAAACCAGCCAGCTCGGGGCGCTCCAGCGGCGAGCACGGATCGAAGCCTCGCAGAGATGAGATTTCGGTCTGTCGCTGAAGAATGTCTTTCCTTCTTATTTCAGAACTACAAAACCCCTTTGACATCAATCCCTCCTTTCTGTCTCTCTCTCTCAACCCCCTCTCTGTATCTCTGTGTGTCTATGTCATTCCCTCTCCCCCTCTGTCTGTCTGTCTCTTTCCCTCCTCCTCTCTTTCCCCCTCTCTGTCTCTCTCTTTCTCTTTCCATCCCTCCCTCTCTCTCTCCCCTTCTATTTATCTCCCTCTCTTTATCTCTCTCCCCCAGGGGGTGGGTGGAAGGCACCCCTGAACTGGTAGTGGGTGGTGGGAATCCAGAGGCCAACAAGCACAGGAGCAGCACGCCCAAGATGAGAAGGAAGGAGGGGAATCATCAGGTGGGGGAAGGGAAGAGGGATTCCTTGGGGGAGGGAAGGAGAGCGAGATGGGGTTTCCCCAGTTGTGACCCTCCGCTTCCAAGTCCCCGCCTTTCCTCGCAAGATTTTTCTGCTCCGTTGCTCCTTCGCTTCTCATTTGCCGCTTCCTCGAATGGCTGTCCGACCCCCTTAAAATCCTCCCTCTGGGCCCCCCTTCCCCCCCCTGCAGCCCAACATTTGATGCAGCCTGGCTCCCAGGCTGAGGCCACCTGGTATTGGGGAAAGTTGGGCACCACCATTCCCATGTTCCCCTGTGGCTGCTGGGAGGGGAGGAAGAGGATCTGGGCTCAGAGGGATGGTGGTTGGTGGGCTCCCTCCAAGGGCATAAACCCTGTTAGGGGGAGGCCAGTGGCATCTTGATGGTGATGGCGACCGGAGAGGCATCCAACCGAGCTTGCTTTGAGATGCAGCACTTGAATCTGCCTCTCTTACCTGCTCAGATTCCCTTTCAGTTGACTGCTGCAACCATGTTTCTCTCTCCCCGATTTCAGTTCTTTTACAGATTGTATAATCTATTCCTAAAAAGAAGCTCTCCACAGATTTTTTTACGAACAGCTTTGCAAAGAGATCAAGAGGCTTCTGTGAAATAATTAGAAAGAGAAAAGATTCTCAGATCAAGGGGCAGACCCGGGAGCTCTAATTACTGCCTTTGAGCATTTAAGGGAAGAGAGACTGGTGTGCAGAAGAGGGAGGTTGGTTGAGCTCCAGAGAGGCTTCAGTTGTTGGAATAAAATGTCCTTTGGACAATTTTTGTTTATATTCTGTTGAGCCAATGCTGCTTCCTCTAGTTATTCTATAACAAACTTACTTTTCCAATTTGCAGTTTTTCTCCAAATTTCATGGCTATATAAGGCACAGAATTTCTCTGAGTCTCCACTTTCGCTTTCATAGCTTCTCCTTTTTCTAAGGATTTCTGAAAGTATTTTAATGTAACCATTGGAGCAATTCAGAACTTATTAACTTCGAACTGGTGCATGGATGATAGTGTTTTGACTGGGCTTTTTTAAAGGGGAGAGACAGGTCCATTTTCCCCAAGTGCTTTGAAAGGATAAATCACTGTCTAGATCAGGGATCCCCAACCCCTGGTCACTAAATGAAGTGCTGTAAATCAAAGACTACCTGTATATAATTGGATATGAAAGGATGGATGGCCTCTCCTAGAGATTTCATGTAGAGATGAAACCACATTGCTTACTGATGGTTATTTGGGCAGATGCAGCTGCAAGAATGCAGAGGGAAGAATAATACCTCCTATCTAGATGAGTTTGGAAGCAATGTGGGTGGGCACATCAAGGTTTTGTCCTATAATTCATTCTTTTATCAATGGGATGAAGCTGGCAATTGTTTAAGGGTGCACATAAAAACAAGACCTTCATCACCTTTTATGATACAGCACCTGCCGAATCTGGTGAAGGTAAGCAGGGGAAAGCATCACTCTTCCAGCTTCCCTCAGTTGCAAATATTTTTTTGGGGGTTTCCCCCCCCCCCCCCCCCAAGAGAAAACTGGCTGGAATAGTCTTCACTGATCCTCAAGGGAGGTGCGCTTTGTCCCTTCTGATGAAGCATTGTGTTCTCCCCACGCCCAGGGGTGCTTTGCTTGGTTGCAAAAGAAGCTCCTGGCTCAGTTGGAGTGACAATGAGGGCACCCCTACCAGACCCCAAAGGACAGACTAGGGCTAGAGCCTTCCATTCAACAGCTTCACTGTTACAGCTTCAATCATTTACCAAGGCAGGTTTTGAAGACTTATCCTGCATGTCCCCAGATGTCAAAGTGGCTGGAACAATCTTCACCAGCCCCCCGTGGGAGGATCACTTTCAGGTTGCATATTATACCTCATTCCCCTCCTAGGACACTTTCCTTTGCTTTAATTCGAGCAAGAGGGAAAATGAGCGTGCGCTCTTGGGAGACCTGAAAGAAATGATATAGGATAATTGTCATGGTCGAAAGCTATTCCTGTGCTCGGTGGGAGTCGAATAAGATTCGATAGCACCGAAAGAAGGACGAAACCCATGAAAGCCTCTTGCGAACACGGCAGGGTGAGAGAAAGGACGAGGATGAATTTCAACCTTATGTCGCTAGATGGCGCTTTACAAAGAAACAACACTCGCGCCTGGCAAGCAGAGAATAAGAGTACAGCAGCGGCATCGCTAATATTGACATTATTGACCGGAAGGGAGAGAGGCCGAGCTGGAACGAATTAAAACGATAGAGTATTAGATTGCTAGAGAGGATGCGGAGGTGGATGACAGGGGGAGTTCCTCTTCCGGCTCAGCCACGGGAGGTTGATGGCGTCGGCGGAGCCTGTTGTGCTGCTTGGAGGGTCGAAGCGGCTCCTGGGAGGTGAGTAGAGGTCGGAGGAGACGCCGGGAGCTAGTCGGGCCCTTTGGGTTCCTCCACGGCCTGGAAGCAGCGAAGGGACAGCAATGAAAAATGCGGGCTGCTGCTGCTGCTGCTGCTCTTTCTCTCCCCAAACGTTTTTATCCTTTTGCTGCACGATTTAAAACTGCAGCCCGAGATTTTTCTGCCGGCAGATTTGGGAGATTTAAAGAAATCTTGATATATATATATATATTCCCGTTTCTTAACCACCCAGCTCCCTCGCCCTTCACGTAACGCGTGAATCCTTGTGGTTTTATTGAGATGTCGCTTTCCTGGCAAGCGAGGAGCTTCAGGGGCAAAAGGGAGGTTTGCATAGGATTTGCTCACCCTTTAATCTGTTAGTGGCTTTAAAAAAAACAGATTGAAGAAAATTGAGCCAATGCACTTCTGAGTCATTTTGCAGACAGAAATACACGTAATTGTTTACATAAATAAATTCACAGGAGTGTATTTCCGTGTCAATAGGAGCAGACACTCAGTGCATTCAGACGGTATTCAGACCTCCTTTCGCTTCTGTTGATTTTGTTGTGCTGCAGCCTGATTTTACACTTGTTGACATTCATTTTTTCCTCATTCCTGTAGATGATGAAGTGAAAATAGAATTTTAGAAATTTATTAAAAACAAAACCTGAAAAACCACATTGGCATAAATTTTCAGATCTTTCACTCAGCAATTACAGCCTTAAGTCTTTTGGGGTATGAGGGGATAAGCTTTGCACACCTGGATTGGGGGATTTTCTGCCGTTCTTCCTTGCAAATCTTTTCAAGCTCAGTCAGATTGGCTGACCATCGGTGGAGAGCCATTTTCGGGTTCCTCCAGAGAAATTCAATAAGGTCAGAGCTCTGGCTGGGCCCCTCTAGGACATTCACTTAGTTGCCCCTATGTTGTCTTGGCTGTGTCCTTGTCATGTTGAGAAGTGGACCTTTGGCCCAGTCTGAGGTCCTGAGTGCTGCGGAACAGGTTTTCATTGAGGATATCCCTGTACTTTGCTCCATTCAGCTTTCCTTTAACACTGATCAATCTTCCAGTCCCTGCGGCTGAGAAACAACCCCACAGTGTGATGCTGCCACCACCATGCTTTGCTGTTGGGATGACATTGGGCAGGTGATGAGCAGTGCCTGGGTTTCTCCAGACATAACATTTAGAAGTGACAGGTTTGTTTCATCAGACCGGAGAATCTTGTTCCTCAGGTGCTTTTTTGCAAACTCCAAACAGGCTTCCATGTGTTGTGCACTGAGGAGAGGCTTCTGTCTAGACACTCTTCCATAAAGCCCAGAAGGGTGGAGGGCTTCAATGATTATTGTGCTTCTGGAACTCTGTCCCGTCTCCACACAGGATCTCTGAGGCTCAGTCAGAGTGACTATCTTGGGCCCTTCTACCCCAATTGCTCAGTTTGACCGGACAACCAGCTCTTGGAAGAGTCCTGCTTGTGCCAAACATTTGAGAATTATGGAGGCCACTTGTCCCTTAGGAAACTTCAGTGCAGCAGAAATTTTACTGTAGCCTTCCCCAGATCTGTGCCTTGCAATAATCCTATCTCTGACCTCTTCAGGCAGTTCCTTTAACCTCATAGCTACTATTCTGCTACAGTATGCATTGTCAGCTATGAGGCCTTCTGTGGAGAGGGGTGTGCCTTTACAAATCATGTTCAATCAAGTTAATTTACAACAGGTAGACTCCAATCAAGGTGTAGAACTATGTCAGCAACAATCAAGGGAAATGGGAGGCATCTGAACTAAATTTAAAGTGCTGTTGCAAAGGGTCTGAATATTTATGCCAATGTGATTTCAGTTTTTTTTCCTTTTACTAAATTTACAGGCTATGTAGATTAAGGAGGGGAAAAACTAAGTTCAACAACTGTAGAATCAAGCTGCAGCATAACAAAATTGACAACTGTAAAGGGGGCCTGAATACTTTCTGAATGCACTGTATTGAGAAAGATAAAAACATTTCAGGTTAAGTGAAAGGTTAAGGCTTGGGATGTCTTGCCCAAAATGCCTGCAGAGCATTTTGAGGAAGGGAAACTGAGGTGCACAAGAGGCAGGTTGGTTGAGCTCCAAAGAGGCTTCAGTTGTTGGAATAAAATGCCCTGTGGAGAGTTTTTAATTTATATTCTATTGACCCAGTCCTGCTTCCTCTAGTTATTCCATTACCATCTTCCCTTTCCAATTTTCAGGTTTTCTCAAAATTCTGTCTATTTAAGGCACAGAATTTCTCTGTGTCTTTCCACCTTCGCTTTCATAGCATTCCCTTTCTGTAAAGCCAACAAGCATGGAATGTAGGTTGGCATTGTCATATGACATGATGCTTAATGATTGGGGTGCTTACTAACACAGATGCTAGTCCCAATTGCAGTCAGTAAGTGAGCACTACTTCAATTAGGATGTCACCAGAGTGGTTGTGAAAAATATATTCTGCCCTTACTTGGAGCTGAGGACTTCCATGGGCAAAACTGAACATGAAATCTTGCAGAAGGTTTACGTATCATTTCATCAGGTAAAAACACACAATCTCTAAAGTTAGCTAAGAAGATTCAACTGTAACAATTTTGGGATAACTTTCAGGCTAAAAACACATGGATTTTCCACATACATACAGTTATAAGCGTGTGTTTTTGTTTTTCTCTCCGTATGCATATATTTACAACTGTACAATGTATCCTGAGCACTTCCCGATATATTTGATAAGGCTTTGCACTGCTAAGAATTTGTGAATCACCAAAGTGAAAAAGAGAATTTAATGACTGAATGGATATTTCAGCCAGGACACCAATGTGTCAAATGAATCATAATTAATGTAAGAGGTTATTCTTTATTGTGGCATGTTTGCTTATTCATTGTAATGTATACTTTTTTCTTTTTTTTCACATTTTCTGCAACCATTTTATAAAGAATTAAAGTTACATTTTTCTTTGAATGTTATAGACAAAGAGGATGGGAATAAGAGCACTCTCAAAAACTGAGAAGGACAAGCAACGTTGGAAAAGAAAGCAAAGTCAGCCAGAAATCAAAATATTTTCCACTTCCTTCAGAAAACCGCAGAATTCTTCTACTTTCCGCGCAGTTGAGAGACTACGGAGAAAATTTTTAGAGGAGATTCCAAGCTAGAAAAAGTAGAATATGAGAAACTCAAGAATACGCTACATGAAAAATCAAGGGAGATTATATTTCATTCAGAAAATGGGAGGAGGAAAACAGCTGGAATTAAAGGACCAGTAAACAAATGATCACATATATATTTGACCGCAAGAATATCAGTGTTGGAAAACTCCTATTGTGCTTATTATGGGAAAAGTACAGATTGTAAATCATAACTGATTATGTACGACAGTATCCACATTGTAGAAAAGCCATAGCAATGCTATAAATGTGAGAAATGGTTTAGCCTGAACTGCTCTCTTGTAAAAGACACATATAGGTGACCTGCAAGTGCTTTCTGTGTGGTAGAGGCTTTAGCAAGCAAAGCAACATCAGAGGACTCACACCAAAGAGAAACTGTAAATGCCCAATTTGAGGGAAAAGTTTCATTAGAAATTCTCACCTCAGGAGACACCTGAAGACTCACCCGGCAAGACATCTTTTGAATGTCCTGACTGTGGCAAAAATTTCAGTCACATTTCCACCCTGGTAATACACAAGAAGACTTTCACTGGAGAGAAACCTTTTGCATGTCCCCAGTGTAGGAAAAGTTTCAGTCATAATTCCCACCTGGTGGTACAGCAGAGAACTCACATGGTAGAAACCATATGAGTGTCCAGATTGTGGCAAAAGTTTCAATCAGAATTGCGGTATAATGACACACCAGAGGACTCATTCCCAGGACAAACTGCATGAATGCCCCGAGTGTGGGAAAAGTTTCAGTCGTAATTCCAGTCTGATAACACACCAGAGGACTCACACAGGAGAGAGACCATATGAATGTTCAGAATGTGGGAAATGTTTCAATAAAAATTCCCACCTGGTGACACACCAGAGGACTCACACAGGAGACAAACCATATGAGTGTCCAGAGTGTGGGAAACGTTTTAGTCATATTTCCAATCTGATAAGTCACCGAAGGATTCACACAGGAGAGAAACCGTATGAGTGTCCAGAATGTGGGGAAAGTTTTAGTCAGAATTCCACCCTCGTGACACACCAGAGGACTCACACAGGAGAAAAACCGTATGAATGTCAGTGTGGGAAAAGTTTCAGTCATATTTCCAGTCTGGTAAAACACCAGAGGACTCACACAGGAGAAAAACCGTATGAATGTTCAGAATGTGGGAAATGTTTCAGTAATAATTCAGACCTGGTGACACACCAGAGGACTCACACAGAAGACAAACCGTATGAGTGTCCAGATTGTGGCAAAAGTTTCAGTCAGAATTCCAGCCTAATTATACACCAGCGGGCTCATTCCCAGGACAAAATTTATGAATGTCCAGAATGTAAGAAAAGTTTCAGTCATAATTCCCAGCTGGTAACACACCAGAGGACTCACACAGGAGAAAAACCATATGAATGTCCAGAGTGTGGAAAATGTTTCAGTAAGAATTCCAATCTGGTGACACACCAGAGGACTCATACAGGAGAGAAACCATATCAGTGTCCAGAGTGTGGGAAAAGTTTCAGTCATAAGCACTCCCTGGTGATACACCAGAGGACTCACACAGGGGACAAACCGTATGAGTGTCCAGAGTGTGGGAAAAGGTTCAGTCAGAATTCCAGCTTGGTGACACACCAGAGGACTCACACAGGAGAGAAACCGTATGAGTGTCCAATGTGTGGGAAAAGGTTCAGTAATAATGCCAGCTTGGTGACACACCAGAGGACTCACACAGGGGAGAAACCGTATGAGTGTCCAGAGTGTGGGAAAAGTTTCAGTCAGAATTCCAGCCTTGTGATACACCAGAGGACTCACACAGGAGAGAAACCATATGACTGTCAGTGTGGGAAAAGTTTCAGTCATATTTCCAGTATGGCAAAACACCAGAAGATTCACACAGGAGAAAAACCCGTATGAATGTTCAGAATGTGGGAAATATTTCAGTAATAATTCCGATCTGGTGATACACTAGAGGACTCACACAGAGGAAAAACTGTATGAGTGTCCAGATTTTGGCAAAAGTTTCAAGTCAGAATTCCAACCTTGTGAAACACCAGAGGACTCACACGTGTGTGCCCAGAGTGTGGGAAAAGTTGGTCAGAATTCCAGCCTGGTGAGATACCAGAGGACTTTTTAGACAACACATCTCAAGATTATACCTATCATTAGAGAAAAAATGGGAGATGTTACTTTTATAAAGGGTAGCTTCCTGTTTCTGGTGATCAGCAGAACTTTCTGCATATTTCCTTTTGCAAAAGTCTGAATTCTTCAAAAAGGCTTTTGGGTGGTGTTTTTTATATTGATTATGGAATCCCCACAATTGGAATTTCTTTCCTTTACCTTGGTGCCCTCCAGATTTTGAGTGCCGGAATATCCCAACCACCATTCAAGTAGTCCTCGAGATATAAGGGTAATTGGCCCTATCAATTATGGTTTTATGTTGCAATCACCATTAAATGGGGCTGCTTTGCTTAACTACCCCCACCCCCTTCTCTCACTGATGAAGCTGTTCAATGAATGTGTGAGTTATTAAGTGGAATACTGGCTACCTGAGATTTGTAGGCATAGCCCAGGCCCAGGCTTGCATCCCCAAGGCTTCCTCTACCTCAACCCTTTGATCACCTGAGTCCTTTCCCTTTTCCACAGGGTCCCCACTGGCTTCTTCCTCCTCCCCCCCTGCAAGATCCCCACAGGCTTTTCCCCACTCCCACTGGGTTCCTGCAATCCTTAGACCTGACTCCCACCCCAGAAGGCCTCACAGCCTCCTCTTTCCTACCTTTTGAAGGTCACTGAACCTCATTTTGGGGAAAGAGGGCAGGACATGCATCCCTGGCATGACTGTATTGTGGAAGCAGCCGTCATTTTCAGTGTGCCTGGAATTCATTACGGTGACAGCAGGGATCAAAAGTGCCATCGGTCATGAGTCCCTTCATGCCCACAAGACATTTAAATCCAGCCCACCTTGAATTTCTTTGACTCTTATCTATTTCCAAATTGCTTTGACCATTGTTCAGATTCTTGCAGAAATCTTTAGCTTGCAATAAATCTTTATACCCACTTTAACAGCCTGGATCTTCTGATTTCCCTGGTGCTTGACAGGGAGGGCACTTTCTCTCCCCCCCCCCCAAGCTCCCTATTCCCCCCATACCAACTCCCCCCCAGCAGGCCTGGGAGCAAGCAGCCAAATTGGAGAAAGGCTTGCAACTCTCATCCAAAGAGCCCCTCCCTAGAATTCTGAGGGAGGGATCCTCCCCTAGAGTTCCCCTCCTGTTACTCATCCTCATCAAAGCATTTTTCCTGGATATCTTCCCCCTCCCCCCCATGTTTTTCCTGCCCCCATTCTTTGCCCCTCTGTTCTGTGCAGCCCTCCTGTTGCCTTCCCTGTCCCACATTCTTCCCTCAGACCAGGTGGGATGGTAAGTCTGAGCTGGGCTGGATCTTCCCTGCAAATCAGCTGATCAGAGGGTCCCATGATTTCTCCATGGATACCTTGGAGAGACTAGTCACTAGAGCAGGGGATCCACAACATTAAACACTCAAAGAGCCATTTGGACCTGTTTCCCACAGAAAAGAGAACACCGGGAGCCACAAAACCTGGGTGGGCATGGCCAACTCGACATCACTCACTCCCACCCAGTCACATGAACCCCCCACCCCCAGCCACGCCTATCCAAGTTTTGTGGCTCCCGGTATTTTCTTTTAAACACATATCTCTCTGTGTCTCTCTCATCTCTCTTTCTCCCCCTCTCTTCCTCTCTCTCTCTCTCTCTCTCATCTCCCTCTCTTTTACTCTCTCATCTTTCTCATCTCAACTCCCTCTTTCTCTCATCTCTGTCATCTTTCTCCCTCCCTCTCTTTCTAATCTCTCATCTCTTTTTTTCTCCATCTCATCTCTCTCTCTTCCTCTTTGTCTCCTCTCTCTCCCCCCTCTTTCTTTCTCCCTCTCATATATATAGATCTCTCAAGTGTCTGTATGTGGTTCATCTTGAACCATTCCCCAAAACAGGTGAGGGTTTGGGGTCTTCTTCTTTTTTTGCTGATGTTGTTCTTTGGGTGCTTTTTACCGTACGATTTAAATCAAGGGTCATTTCAGGTTCCCAGATGAATGAAGTTCTTTTGCCCCCTGCTGTGGCTTCCTGTCAGCTGAACCCACCAGTGGCTGGCCCCACCCTTCATCCTCGCCGCCCACTCACTCCTCACCTGCCCTGAGAAGAGAAGGGTGCCGGCGGCTGATGGAGACTCGCACCGTATTCCAGAGTGGGAGTGAAGTGCCCCTCTACTTGCCTCTTTTTCCAGTGCCTCTGGGAGAGATGCATGACTTTTTCTCCACCTCACAACACTGGCTGGGCCAGCTACATAATGGTCTCCAGGAGGAGGAGGGGATGCTGTCTTCCTCATTGTGAAGCAAGCTAAATTTAAGTGTGCTGCGCAAGGCGCTGCAAGAGCAGTAAGCAGGCCATGGAGGCGGCAAGAGGAATATGAGGAGATGCCTGACTTTCCCTCCGCCCCAAGACACTGGCTGGGCCAGAGGAATAATCAAGTTGAAACTCGTCTCACGCCTCCCATCTCCAGAATACTCTGCTTTGCTGGCATCCTGCCATAAATGCAAGGAAGGGGAGGAGGCAATTAGGGAAGTAAGGAATGAGCATGGGAAAGAGCAGAGAAGGGGAATGGGATGACGAGGAGACAGGAACCAGAGTTGTCAATCCAGAATAAACAGGATCAACAACAGAGCCTGTAAATGGAATGCGAAACTACACCAGAAAGATGCCAAACCTCAAAGCCATTCTCAAAACATCAAAACCAAAGGCTATTGGACACTGATGGCCTGATCAAGGGGGGAGGACCAGGTAAAGGGGTGAAAATTAAAACTTGTTAGAGTTTGTAGCAATCCTGCCAGCACACAGACAAATAATTCAGCAAGCTTCATTATATAGAACAAACTTCTTTATATACAATGATATAAAACATGAAGCATTTGTACAATACCCATGCAGCTCTTTTCAACATGGTAGAAGAAGGAATTTTCAAGTACAAGCATACATGCTCTCTTATACATAGTACAGTTTAAGTCACGCCCAGGCTCCAAGCTGTCTCCCATGGCTCAGACAACAACTCTTGGGCCTCACTCACCAAACAGTCCCCATTGGCTGACTTCTTGTTGTGGCTATTCCAGCTGATGAATTCTTAATACACCAACAAAACTTTGTGCAGGAATACTCAGATCCAGCTTTGCTTACACTGTAACCACTTACATTTACTAAACCTTTCACTTCACCTGAATGTGCAGTGGTGGCAGCAGGAGGAGGAGTTGCCGCCGCCGCCATTATCCTGGCCTGGAAGTGTATCCTGCTTTTGCGGGCGCGTGCTAGAGAGAGAGAGGAAGGCAATGGCTGTCCAGTCTCTTCTTAATAGCCTACATTGATGGAGCACCTGAGCTACTGAAGGCAAGCCATTCTACTGATTAATTGTTCTCACTGTCAAGAAGCTTCCTTAGCTCTAGGTTGCTTGTCTCCTTGATTAGTTTCCATCCATTGTTTCTTGTCTCGCCTTCTGCTACTTTGGAAAATAGGTTGAACCCCCCCTTTGTGGTATCCCCTCAAATATTGGATTGCTGCTATCATCTCACTATCATCTCATTTTTAAAGATGCTTGATTAACCTGACAACTTTGCCATCCAAAAGGTAGAGGATGGAATTAGAGGGTCAGGTATATTGGACTTAATATTTGCTAACAGAGATGAAATGAAAGTGCAATGAACATGTTTGTGGACTGGAAGCTAAAACACACAAAGATGGTTACAGGAATTGGATATGAGTGAAAAGAAAAACTAGGGGTGTGTGCGACATCATTGTAGTATTCCAAGATTTGAGGGGCTGCCACAAAGAAGAGGGGGTCCATTTATTTTCCAAAGTACCAGAAGGCAAGACGAGAAACAATGGATGGAAACTAATCAAGGAGAAAAGCTCCCTGGAATTAAGGAGAAATTCCTAACAATGAGAACAATTAACCAGTGCAACTGTCAGATCCGTGTATCTGTCATTTCTTCAGTGGAAGAAGAAAGGGGGGGGGGAGGCTGATAAATCCTTTCTTGATGTAACCTGAATATATTTAAGCTTATATCGAATTTGTATAACTCACACATGATACAATGGAGGAAGAAAAGCCAGATGGCCAGACCCTATCACCTCCGAGAGGCACAGCCAGGAGATGAGAAGATCATAAAACTTCCACAGTGAGATGTATCCAGGGAATATCTGGAAAAAGTTCATTCTAAAAAAGGGGTGGGGGGAAAATTAGGTATGTCCTGGGAAACTGAGAAAGATCATTCCTACAGAAGAGGTGGGAGGGGAATTAACATACTGGCTTTTGTTTCTCTAAATACACATCGAGATAAGGGGAGGGGTTCTAAATTCCCTCATGTATCCCTGTATCTCTGAGGGACCTCAGATGCTGCTTTGAACTCCTACATGAATTGTCTCATCTCAATAAAGGATTCCTTTTGATACGTTTGGTTCTCAGAAGTTCATTCTTGCTAATTGAATGGGAAAACGTTCTGTAGCCTGACAGGAACGGCTTCTCTCCAGAAGTTGTGAGTGCTCCAACAATGGGGGTTCTTAAGAGGAGATTGGACAGACATTTGTCTAGACTGGTATAGGGTCTCCTGCTCGAGCAGATTAGACTAGATGACCTCAAAGTTCACTTCCAAGTCTGTAATTCTATATTCTAGTAGTTGCTTTTCTGCTTCAGTGTGTAGAGTGAACCAAACAGCTGACTTGCTCCCGACCTTTCCTCTGACTTACTCTCAACTCACCCTCCAGCTCCCCCTTTGACCCTGAGAAGAGTGGGAGAGCCTCTCTACATGCCACCCTCCTCCCACGAGTGATCCAGAAGAAAAAGTTCCTCTGTACTACTTCCATCCTTTCTAGCAATACAGTACTTGATGGTTTTAATTTCTTTACGTTCAACCAGAAAGGCTGCTATTGTATTGTTGGCTTTCCAGTCACAGATGCTGCCTATCTGACTGCCATTTCGTGATAGGAGGCCAAAAGCCAGGCTTGTCCCATCTCATTATGGCATTGGCCAGATTTTTTCACCGATT